CCTGTGGATAAGGGGGCAACTACTGTATTTATCTTTCAAGAATATTGAGTACCTACCATACTTAGAACATAATAGCCCATGTTTTTTAAATGAATGCTGAATCTAATATATATTTTTATATAATATAAAAATAAATTTGTGTGTGATGAGTGGAAAACTCTCCAGTTAAAATTTAATTTGCTAATAATTAACTAACTACTTGGGGTTGTGGAAAAGAGAAGGAAGCCAAGGAAACTTAAAGCAAAAGTTTTAAATAATCTTTAGCAAATGCTGATCTTGAAAAATAAATACTAAAAACTTATTTGGTATGGTGGCTCCTCAAAAAGCTAAACATAGAACTATCATATAATTTAGCAATTCTACTTTTGGGTATATATACAAAAGAACTGAAAGCAGAGATTTAAACAGACACTTATACATGAATGTTTATAGAAGCACTATTCACAATAGCCAAAAGGTGAAAACAACTCAAAATGTCCATGAACAGATGAATGGATAAACAAAATGTGGTATACACAAACAATGGAATATTATTCATCCTTAAAAGGAAGTAAATCCTGACATACGCTATAATGTAGATGAACACTGGAGATACTGTGCTAAGTAAAATAGGCCAGACACAAAAGGATAAATATTGTATGATTCCACTTCTATGAGGTACCTACAGTAGTCAAAATACTAGGGACAGAAAGTAGAATGGTGGTTGTCAAGGACTAAGGGCAGGTGGGGGGTGGATCACGAGTTACTGTTTCAACTAATACAGAGTTTCAGTTTGGGAAGATGGAAAACTTCTGGAGATGGATGGTAGTAATGGTTGCACAACAATGTGCTTGATACCACTGAATTACACTCAAAAATGGTTAAAATGGTAAATTTTATGCTACATTTTTACTACAAAACATTATTTGAAGTCCTAAAATGTTAATTTAGGTGGAGAAAAATATAACTTAATTTATACATATATTTCAATGACATATCTAATATCTAAATGGACTAAAACCAAATTCAAATATTTTTATTTTACCAAGTTAATTTAATAAACGTTTACTGTCCTATTGTCTGACCACATGCCTAGAATTTGGATTCAGAAAATATGGTCACCAAAGATATATGATAGCCAATGGTCATTATATCTACACTGTCCAATATGGTAGCTACTAGCCATATGGGCTATTTAAGTTTGGATTACTAGACTTAAATAAAATTAAATACTCAGTTTTTCAGTCATACTAGCTACATTTCAAATGCATAATAGCTACATGTGACTAGTGGCTACCATATTGGACAGTGTAGATATAATGACCATTTATTTCCATCATTCACAAGTGATTTTTATTGGACAGTGCTCTTTTACATTATATTATAAATACCATATGGTAAATCATTAGTGTGTGTGAGGAAGAGAGGTGGTCAGTCCAGAATAATAACAAAGAGCCAAAATTGGGTATTATTTGTTCCAGTTCTATGAAAAATGTTGTTCATATTTTGACAGGGATTGCATTAAATCTGTAGATTGCTTTGGATAGTATGGACATTTTAACCATATTGGTTCATCTAATCCATGAACATAGAATATCTTCCCATTTGTTTGTGTCATCTTCAATTTCTTTCCTAACTGTTTTATAATTTGTATGGAACCACAAAAGACCCCAAAGAGCCACAGCAGCCTTGAGAAAGAAGAAAAAAGCTAAAGGTATCACAATCCCAGATTTCAAGATATGCTACAAAGCTGTAGTAATCAAAACAGTATGGTACTGGCACAAAAAGACACACAGATCTATGGAACAGAAGAAAGAGCCCAGAAATAAACCCATGCATGTATGGTCAGTTAGTTTATGACAAAGAAGGCAAGCATAGACAATGGGGAAAAGACTGTCTCTTCAACAAATGGTGCTGGGAAAACTGGACAGCTACATGCAAAAGAATGAAACTGTGTATAGTTTGTTATACCAATCACAAAAATAAACCTAAAATGAATTAAAGACCTAAATGTGAGACCTGAAACCATAAAACTCCTAGAAGAAAGCATAAGCAGTAATTTCTCTGACATCAGAATAGGGACATTTTTCCAGATATGTCCTCTCAGGCAAGGGAAAAAAAGCAAAATTCAACTATGGAGACTACACCAAAATAAAAAGCTTTTGCATGGCAAAGGAAACCATCAACAAAATGAAAAGGCAACCTGCCAAATGGGAGGAGATAGTTCCCAATGATATATCTAAAAAAGGGTTAATATCCAAAGTATACAAAGAACTTATACAACTCAACACCAAAACACCAAATAATCCAATTTAAAAAAAAAAATGGGCAGAGGACCTGAATACACATTTTTCCAAATGTCTTCTGGATGGCCAACAGACACATGAAAAGATGTTCAGCATCACTCATCATCAGGGAAATGCAAATCAAAACCACAATGAGATATCACCTCACACCAGTCAGAGGGCTAAAATCAAAAAGACAAGAAATAACAAGTGTTGGCAAGGATGTGGAGAAAAAAGCAACCCTTGTACACTGTTGGTGGGAATGCAAACTGGTGCAATCACTGTGGAAAATAGTACAGAGGTTCCTCAAAAAAATTAAAACTAGAATTACCATATGATGCAGTAATTCCACTACTGAGTATTTACCCAAAAACAAAGAAAACATGAATTCAAAAAGATACAGGCACTCCTATGTTTATTGCAGCATTATGTATAATAGCCAAGCTATCAAAGCAACCCAAGTGTCCATCTGTAGATGAAAGAATAAAGAAGATGTGGTATAGATACACAATGGAATATTACTTAGCTATAAAAAATGAGATCTTGCCATTTACAACAACATGGATGGACTTCGAGTGTATAATGCTAAGTGAAATATCACATGATTTCACTCATATGTGGAATTTAAAAATAAAAAAAATCAAACAAAGGAAAAAAGACAACCAAAAAACCAGACTTCTTAAATACAGAGAACAAACTGGTAGTTGCCATTGGGGAGGTGAGTGTGGGGAATGGGTGAAATAGATAAAGGGGGAATAAAAAACCTCATAAAACAAAGAACCAATTACATTCTATAAACAATGTGCTAATTAAATGTTTCACTTTTTAACTAGCAGTATCACAAGGCTAAGAGCCATCCTTTATCATGCAAATGCAGGATAAACTTTACTGACAAGGAAGGTATAGTTATATCACCTTGGACATATCAATAGTCTTTAAAAAAAAATAGGATCCCACATTGGAAGAAAGTGTTAAGTATATCTTCATAGCAACTCTACAGAGTATTATAGAATTTCAAAATTAAAATTACAGAATTATACAGAATTATATATAGCAATATAAAATAATATGCTGGTATATTAAGTAAAACAGGAGATTCTAAAATCAAATCTATACTGTGATTTCAGTCATAAAGCAGCTACATAGTTATATAATACAGTATAGTAATTATACCTATAGTAATTATAAGGGAACATGAAAAAACAAAAATAGGGAGCCTGGGTGAATCAGTCGTTAAGCGTCTGCCTTTGGCTCAGGTCATGATCCCAGGGTCCTGGGACTGAGCCCTGCATCTGGCTCCCTGCTCTGCGGGGAGGTCTGCTTCTCCCTCTCCCACTCCACCTGCTTGTGTTCCTTCTCTCGCTGTGTCTCTCTCTGTCAAATAAATAAAATCTTAAAAAAAAAAAAAAAGAAATTCTCGAATACTAAAAAAAAAAACAAAAATAGGTGGTGTATTTGGTGAAGAATATGGACATCTATAAAACAAAGTAATACTGTTCAAATATTTTTAAAAAAGGAAACTGGCCTATGCTATTCTATTCTAACAATGAAATTATATACTGTTTTGTAACACTATTTGTATGTTTGCTCTAACCTCAGTTTCATATATGGAAGTATGTATATTCTGTGTCATGCAATCAGCTATTGCTCTAATAAAATAAAATGGCCTTGTAAGGAACATTTTCAAAGAACTGAAAAATTAGAAAAGTCTTTACGAGTTCATTTGATCCAGCTCTAAATTAAACTGATAAATAACAATTCAAAATTTGCGCAATTTAAGACAAATGTACATCTAATACATGGTGCTTCTGTTTGTGTACTGTTATCTGGCACATAAACCAGACAATAATATATACCGGCAAATATATTTAAATATGTCCTTATTATATACTGTCAATATTACCAGGTCATAAGTAGAATTAAAAAGGAATGCATCACATGTTGGTGAAAAATGGCAAGCCTTACTCATCACAGATAATGTTTCCTTTAAAGTGATATAAAACATTGTCTATGAATCAGTCTTGGTTTCTTAAATACACTTGTTCTAAAATTGTATAGATACTTAAAGTGATCTGTTTAATCCTATAATCTTTGCACATGATGTATGACAGCATTAGGAGGATGCATAATTAGATTAAAAATACAAAAAAAATTATCAAGGCTATACATAGACTTTTTGGTGAATACTGTATTTATCAAAACCATTTTTTGAGTGTTTTACCTAAGAAAATAAATGACAAAGATAATCAAGTCTCAATAACTTCTAAGACCAAGTTTGATGACATAGGAAAGGTTTGGACTTCCTCCCTACTTAACTTTAACTTCCTACTTAACTATTCCTCTTAACTTCTATATGATTACAGACAGACTTATGTATTATATATGAGTTTTATCACATTTAAATAGATCCATGCTTACAATGCATAAATGAGATGGAATTTTCCTAATACTTTAGTGAGTAGCCTTCAAAGTTATAAAAATTATAAACATGATTAGTGATCCCTGAATGGGTTCAAACTGAAAAAGCTCTCATTTTATAATTGACTCAAACGTTTTGTTGGAGGGAAGTCTTGGATTCAAGTTCTAGCTAGGTCACCAACTGAAAGGTTATTCTACTTAAGTCACTTCACGCATCTGGTTTTTAGTTTCATCATAAGCAAAATGAAAGCATGGGTAAGATGACATCCAGTACCTTCTAGTCTAAAGATACCTGAGTGATCCAGTCAGATAACTTACCTCTCTCAACACAGGATCAGCTATGGAATTCAGATTGACAGCTCCTTCATAGGTCAGGTAATAGAACACATTAAGGGATCGAACAGCCTCTGGTCCTAGCTGTTTATAGCCAAAAATGAGATCAATCCATTGGTGAAGCTGGCAGGAAACAAATTCACTCTCCAGGGCCTGAAAAAAAGGGCACAGATCATATTATTATGCTGAATTCAGCTTTTAAAATATAGAGAAATTCAGAACAAGCAGTAAAGTTTTACACTAAATTTACTGTGAAGAGACTGACTCTGATGTCCTATTTTCCACCAGAATCTGTTCTCCTTTGTTTATAATTAGAAACTTTCTGGCACTTGTCACGCTGAATTGTTTTAGATAGCTTACATGTCAGTATTATTCTACAATACTGTAAGCACTGTGAGGGCCAGGACTGGGTCTATTTTGGTCATATTGGTAACTCAGGGCCTGACTGGTACCCAATTTATGCTTCAAAGAAAGGAGGTGATGCAATGTAAAGGTTACTCTGGGACAGCACATGTGAAAACATTACACATTTATTATTCACCTGAAATGTTTATGATTTTTCTAGATATAAACATTTTGTTGTCTACTGCAACAACTATAACCAAATTATTTAGCTATTTCAACTGAGTTTTTATGCCAAAAAATTTTATCTTTGGAGGCATACTTATAACTACTGAATTATAATTACTGAATTATTATTCTAGATATTAATACCAAACCAGATAAAAAATGTGATGCTATTTGTGTCCAATAAATAATGAATGAATATAATCAAGTATTCAGTGGAAATGCTGAATCCACTTCCAATTCATCATTACCTTCCCAGTTACCAGCACTGTACCTAAAACACAGTAAGTACTAATAAATGTTTGCTGAATTTAATAAAGTTATAAATATAAAAGAGTTTTAAAAACTGGAGATACTTTTTATAAAAGTGTTCAGATTTGTATTATTTAAAATTCTTCAAAATTATTTCACCATAAAACTTTAGCATTATGGACTAATTTTCTATAAATAGTGCTATTCAAATCACAGAGCTCTAAAATTCAAATGGGGAAGTTCGATTTGAAGTATATCAAATTGTATCAGATGATGTAGCTCATTGAAATACTTACTTTATGTGTAGTAAGTATATGGCTGTGATGTGTTTTTGGTGTGGCTTGCTACATCATCAATATTATAAAAAGAAATCTGTTGGTTTTAAAACAAAATTGAATAACCTCTATAGCAAGCAACCAGTAAGATATAAACCACCTTGTGACAAAAGACGTTCCTATCAGCTCACAGGTGTACACTTGTATATGTTTTATTAAAATAAGTGCCTGTGTGGGCGCCTGGCTGGCTGTCGGTGGAGCATGTGACTCTTAATCTTGGGGTTGTGAATCTGAGCCCCTGTTGGGTATAGAGATTACTTAAAAAATAAAATCTTTAAAAAAGTTCCTATCTAAAATAAGTGCCTATGAATTAAAAATATTTACAACTGAATTCAAATAATATATTTCCTTTAATATTTAAGAGGATGTCACAGTATACCACATACTATATATAATGTAAAAAATAATTCTGTAAATAAAACTCTAGGCAATTCTCATATTCCAACGTATACCTGAAATGAAATAAAAATATTTAGCTAGCTTCAACTGTGAAAGTTGTTTTAGACATCTCTTACAAAACTTATGATATTTATAAATTTAGTAAATAGCTAAGAGAACTGCTGCATATGTTATTTGAAATAGAAAGAGAAAGGCTTGTAATAACTTTAAGTAAATTCCTATTTTAAGTACATGGATTTAAAATTAATCTGAAAATTCAGTAATTATTAATGGAAGTTGCACACAAAAATGATACGTTTGTTTCATTAACTTGGGCCTTGGGTAGGGATGGGGGAATGGGGCCATGTTTAAAGTGACACATAAAAACAGCAATTGTCTTAATTTGTGTGCAGTGCACTCCACACAAAAGCCCTAAATATGTTCAAATTAGAGCAAGCTGCTTGATTGTCACTGTAGTCTCATGTCACATTAATGCATGACAAACATTAAACCATACACTTAAATGGCAATTTATATCATTTAAATGTTTACTGCCAGACTAGCTCATCACTCATTTAAATGTGACTTTCTGACAGCTAATTTCAGTTAATTTTCTCCAATTCACTTAATTAGAACTTTCAATCAGGGAAGGCCCTATACATATCTTTGAGCTTACAACCTTTTTAGATGTTCAAAATCTGAGTTAATAAACTACTGAAAAGCCCTACTATAATAGATTAGCATGTAGTATCTCTGAGTCTACAAAAAAAGTGTGACTATATGAAGCAAACTCACAGTATGTACTCTTAGAAAGACCCTACACTTATTTATGTAAATAATACTCTCACCAGTAGTTTAAATAAAAAATGTTTATTTCATATACACACACTATTGAAACAATAAAAAAAAAACACTGCATCCAAGCTAATTAAAAATTAATGATTTCAAAATTGTTTAATAAGATAAAACAGTCAGGAGTCTCCTGAGTGTCCGTGGTGTTGTGATTTGAGACTATAAAATTCCAGAAGGCTCAGCACATGATAAAGTACAAGTGAATTGTCTCAATATTAAAGCTCTAAAAACCAGGGCAATTTTATTTTATGTGTCATCAAACAAAGAATTGTGTTTTCTTAATGTCGATTACTTCTTTATGCACATTCAAAATGGTGAACTTGGTAACATTTAGATGCTTAAACCTTTATATCTTGATACTACCTCAGAATGTTAAGCAAAAAATGCTGAAATGAAAGCCACTGGATGCCCCCATTACACCTCAAACACACATGCAGAGATGACCACAGTGTCATGGTTTGCCCCTCCCTTAACACTGTCATATTGGTCAAGCCTTAAGGGGTTGCCTAGTAATTCATGGAATTACTGGCAAAATCTTTTCCAGAAGTTCATGGATAGACTTTAAATACATTTTTTAAAACTGAACTAAAAATCTCAGTAGTGGTCTTCAAGCATTTCTTGCAATTTACCAAAGTTTTAAAAAGGGGTCCAAAAGAACAACTGCTATGGGGATAAGAGTTCCAGAAAGGTTTGAAATCATCTCAGTACAAAGTCATTTCAGGACTTTAACATCCCTTTGGTAGTAGTGAATGACAACTGCCTAGCCGAAAGTATGTAATAATAAACAAATGCACTTAGCAAAGACTTGAGGTAAGAGGTAAAGACAAGCAGGAGGAAATTATTGAGGGAAATAATTCAAAATGGAATACCCTGAGATTATATCTTATAACTTGTGTTTTTGAAATTCAAAAATATAAATCATAAAACATTAAAAATTCTTTAAATGTTTTTATATGTTAAGATTTAAAAAAATACTTGATATAAAATATTTATATCCACATTTTTAGTCACAAAAAATAAAAACATGACAGTGGAATGCTAAGCATTTGTGATTTTTCAAAGCCTTTAGGTCAGACAGTCCTCATTAAGACTGGAGTTAAATACGGTTTGCAGCTAGGGGATAGTAACATTCTTCCCATGCTGCTCTCAAACCTAACCCAATCAATTGTTAGTACTCCCCTAGCAGGCTGGATACATCATTTACATCCAATGTGTGCTCTGAGTAAAATCTGTAAAAAGAAAATCCACTAAAATGTCCAACACAATACAGTAATATTCAACTCATCTGAGTTATTATAAAATAAATCAGTGACTAATGTCCAATTGTTAAGGTTCAAATAAGACTATGAAAAGACTATCATATGAAGCCTCACACAAATTGTCAGTGCAATCCAGGGGGACTCATATTAGTCTTGACAAACTGTCTTGGGGCTGATATCTGTTTTTTTAATGAGATCTATTAAACAGAGACTAAAACACTTGAGATATGCTAAAAAAGTACAGTATACAGATGTCAAATACAAACACTTATTAGTAACTTTCATTTGTTTGGTTCACATGCAGAACATCAACAAATTCAAGCTTTAATATTATAAAGATAATAGTAAATTATTCATAAACAACTCATTTGTGTAATCTTGTGTCAGAAATAATTATAACATATATGAATATGTGTCCCACAATAAATCTCATTGAAAGAATGTAATCTATGTGGTTCCTGAAACGAACCCATTAAGGAAATGAATTATTTATTGATAAAAAAATTATTTAAAATTATTCTTGTTTCCTCTAGTACAATCAAAAAATATGATAATTTATGTAGAAATGGCTTGCTTTTCCCCAAACATTCTAAGCTATCTTGGAGTAAAAATTCTAATATAAAAGGCATTAATAATGTGTTTGTTAATCTATGTACGCTTTAGAGATACTCTAGCAATTTCCTTTTACTTTCAAACAATCAAATTTTCTCTAATGTAAAAATTATGTAAAATCAAGAAAACCAATTTTAATTAACAAAAGAAAGATAATTGTTCACCTCCAGACCCGAAAACCTTATTTGTGTATTATTCCCAAATTAATGCTAATATTTATTTATGCTTTTGTTAAATGTTCTCATACAACACCATTTTTAAAAAGCCATCAAATAAAAGCTGGTGTCTATGGGACAAATGATTTTTATGAAAAAAAAAAAAAGATCAAATAGTATTTACAAATCTTTAAGTATAGAAATATAATTGTATAACCAGAAGGAAGTAGGTCTGTGTAACCCAGATACACATTTCTGCACACCTATACCACCACTTCCCTTCTCAGGCTTCCAGAAGACCTGATTCAGTCCTGAGATTCAAAATGCATTAGCTGTAAGTATTGAAGAAGAAAATAAAAATCAATGACTAACCCTCTTGACCTGGTATGCACTTAAATATAAGATGTACTTAATAATATTTTATTTATTTATATTTATTTATTTTGTTTATTTTTATTTTTTAAATCATATTTTAAAGATTTTTAAAAAAATCTTTAAGTAATGTACACCCAATGTGGTGCTTGAACTCACAACCCTGAGATCAAGTGTTGCATGCTCTTCTGACTGAGCCAGTCAGGCACCCCAATCATATTTTAAATGGAAGAATAAAAATCAGTTTTGTAAATTTTTAACTGTACCTTTATAAATTAAGAGTATGAATTCATTTGAGGGTAGATCACATGTTTCAAACGAGTTAATGCTGGGATTGGTCAGAATGTAATATACAAATTATGAACTTGGAA